TACTTTTTGCTATTTTCGTAGCCCTGGAATGCCTCACACGCATCTGTTACAGTATACAGCCAATTCCTCGTAAATGGGATGAGGTGGAAGCTCATCTGAGTAACATGACGGCCCTTTGTACTAAGCTTCATTTTTAGGATGTAATGAAGGAAATCAAGAAAATGCAGGGACCATCAACGGTAACAGAGGATGCTTCCAAGAAGATGAAGAAGTCATCCAAGAAACCTAAGAATATAGCTGCGTCATCTTCGCAGTCGATTTCAGAAAAGGCAAAAACTGAAGAGGTAACTAAGAAAGGGAAATCGAGTGGTTCTAAAACGAATGAGCATAAAGGAATGATTCGTAATTATTGGATTGAGTACTGGGACAGAAAGCAGAAGAGATGGATTTGTGAGTTGACATAAGTCGCACTTTGATTTTGTTCACACATAATCTGACCATAGTGCAGGTGTGGACCCACTTCGTGCAAGTGTTGATGAGCCAAATTCCATAGAAGAGAACCTTACGAAGCCAGTCAGCTATGTGTTCGCAATCGACAGTGGTTCGTGCTTTTGATCTATGCAGTGGGATTAACCGTCAAAGGAGCGCAATGGCTTACCACTTGAAGTCACTCTGTGTGTGTCTGAAGACTTATTAATGAAAGTGTATAGAGGGTGGAGTTCGTGATGTTACTGCTCGCTATGCTTCTGATTTCTTGCGTCCGGAGTTCCGTCGGCTGCGCACTGCGCAACAGTGGATTGCTAAGACTCTTAGAAAGAAGGTCTAGTTGTAGTTTTTTGTTTACTTCTTATTTTGCTTACTAGCTGTTGAAAGACTTCAGTTCGAAATAAAAGTTATGATTGACATTCTCCTTTGCTTTTGAGTACCATTTCAGATGATACGCGCAAATCGCGAAAAAAGTGAGTTGGAGGACTTCCATATGCGACAGGAGCTAATCAGTAAACCACTCCCAACTACGCTTTCTGAATTCAAAAACCATCCTCTGTTTGTTACCTCGTATTTTTTCTTCTAAGAAACCTACAATAGTAACGCCACATTTATAGGTATGTTCTCGAAAAGGATCTATTGAAGTTCGAGGGTATCTATCCGAGACCTGAGGACCAAAAGCCATTGGGTGAAATACGTGGGCATAAGGTCTATCCACGCACTACTGTGTACACCCTACAAAGTGCGAACAATTGGATAAAGTTGGCTAGGAGCGTTAAGGTGATTTCATTGTTATATGCTCGTGCTCGTGCAAGTTTTGGTTTTAGGAAGGTGAAAAGGCATACAAAGTGGTTAAAGCCAGACCAAATATTCGTGTTCCCGTCGAAGAACGTGAGCAAAGATATCTGGATGTTTTTGGGTACTGGCAAACAGAACCGTATCGATGTCCCAAAGTTGAGAATGTGGGTGTATTGCTC